GGCTGATTCAACTCTCAGAGGGAACAGTGAATCGCTGCAGCGTGATGACCGTGAGCAGCTTTAAGGGGAATGACAATAAGTCCAACGCATCGACAACGCTTGCATAACGCTCCGTGACGCAAATGGAGGATAGGCATGAATTCTGTTGATCGCAAGGAAGAATCGCATATAATACTAAGTGGAACCTTTTCCAGCTCTCAATAAGCACGGAAAACGGTCAACGGGGTAAGATATTTTATTCGGTCTCAACGGAGCGAGTTCACATCAAATCTGTTCAGACGAATTGTGCAACATTAGCGTCTCACAGGTGTTCTGGTAGTTTTGCAAAAGATGGTGTTTCAGGAGGTATGCTAAATGGCTCTTCAAAATCCTCCGCCAAACGCCCACTGGAGTTGTCAGAAAACGGATAAACTGTCCTACTTTCGATGTCTTCGTCACGACAAAAGGCGCGTTTAATCAAAGCTCGGATGTTCCCGACTGCGCCGAAGTTATGCATTTCACGGACAATCGCCAACTGCCAATGTACGCAATTAATTCTAGGACACAGAGTCAGGTATTATAGTAGCACGGAAACTATATTCAATGAAAGTAATGTAAATGCCTTAAACTAAAGGGTGCTCGAAAATCCAGCAATAGTAAGGATAACACGAGTTGGAATGTCACACGGGTTTGAATGCCGTTTGCATGTTATAATGCTGACTATTCAAACCAACATTCGGCTAATCGATCTCGTTTGTCAGTGACGGACTACCTGCCAAATCGTCATGTTGCAAAATGGTGGATTGCGGACGTAGCAGACTGGACGCTTCACCAAGAACAAGTGCTTAGTGGGCGAGAAATGAGGCCCAATCGGGACTGAGATGCACACTTCAGACTGATAGTCTCAAACTGCCGTGCGCGATCTATATCATTTAGCTTAAATGCGTTTCAGACCACTACGCTCGTGCTTGAGAGTGATTGTGTCAAACATAAATGTTATGTTTGGCACTGAGTTGAGAAAAACCGATCATCAAAACCCTGTATCAGTTGTTGTTCGGGGTGACGACAAGTGACTCAAGTGATGGTTCACGTCAGAAGCAATATCTATCAAAATTACTAGCCAAATTAAAAGCTTTCCCGGAGTTCCGTTAGAACCCTGGAAGCCAAAAATTTCCCGTTTATAACATCGGAAAACCCACAGAACTGACTGTTCACGTAATAGTTTCTACATCAAACATGGTAGGAGCAACGAACAAGAATTCCACCCTAACTTAAACTTGAAAAGAAAAACGCGCTGGTAGTAACGCTGGCGCCTCCCTTCTTCCTTTTCCACCTGTTTCTCTTACTCTCATCCCGACCCCCATTACTAACCTTCCTTCTATAATGCCCAGTTTAATTGACAGCAACCGGTGTCACTGGAGTAGAACCACCTGCAGCCACCATCCCACCGCACCTATCGGACGCCTATCGTCAAAAGTCCCTTATAAGACCACGCTATCCCGTTTCCATGGCGACATTCAATGTTCGCGCTTTAAGACAAACAGGTCAACAGGCTACACTCGCACGTACCTTGGATACACTGGGTATTGATGTGTGTTGTGTCCGAAACTAGGATCAATGACCCTAACGGGATTATTGAATTAACTGCACCCGGCTTATCCTCTCGTTATTGGTTGCACGCATCCGGAGACGTCGATGCAGCACTCACGGGTCAAGCTGGTGTAGGTATCATTCTAAGCTTCAAGGCTGAGCCATCGTTGGTTGATTGGATTCCGGTGAACAGCCGTTTATGTGCAGCCCGTTTGACGACATCAGCCAAGGTTGATTCACGAAGTGGTACAAAACGCTGTTTGTTTGTGATTTCCGCTTATGCTCCCACCAGCTGCAATTCAAATGCTGTCAAGTACAAATCCTATCACGAACTGAACGCGCTACTACGCAGTGCTACTAGGTCAGACGTTATAATATTGCTAGGGATATGAACGCACAAGTAGGGCGTCTCAGTTCTTCAGAAGCTCAGCTGGGTGGTAACTGTGTGCTTAACTCCAAAGGGACTGACAACGGTGAGTGTCTGCTGCAACTGTGTGCGGAGCACCAGTTATTTCTTATTAGCACTGCTTTTAGACAGTGGGCGCCGAAGTGCCACTTGGCGTCCTCCTGTAGCTAGCCAGCGATGGACCCAAATTGACCACATAGCCATAAGTTACAGATGGTGTGGTTCCATCCTGGATTGCCGCTCGTACTGGAGTACCTGTGTCGACTCTGATCATGCCTTGGTACGCTGTCATTTCTCCATGAACTTTATCAGGAGGCGCACCAAGAGTCCCCTACGATTGGCAACGCAGAAATTGTCTGTCTTCGGTCAGGCAAGCCTATCAAGAAGCACTACATACCGAACTTCCGCTGTCCTGTCCTAATGACACTGAGTTTCAGTGGAATAGGATCTCGACCGCCATGCACGACGCAGGAGCATCTGCTTGTGGCACTATCCATCGTCACCGCACCAGTCACTGGATATCCGAGAGGTCAGTGAACCTATTGGAATCTAGAAGACACCTCCAAGCTGGTTCTGAACACAATGTGACCAGACGGGCTATTAGGCGTGAACTAAAGCAGAGCCTATGTACTGACAAGGAAGCCTGGTGGACCAGTAGGGCTCAAGAAATGAAGGAGACAGGAGCAGTAGGCAATTACCGCAAGCTCTTCCAGCTAATCCGCACCACTGATCCCAGAAAACTACGCGTCAGTGAGACAATCAGAGACAGCGCGGGTACGATGATACACAATAAGGAGCGCCGTATGGCTCGTTGGGAGGAACACTTTCAAAATCAGTTCAGCTGGCCGCCTGCTCCTGGACCTCTTCCTACACAGGTGATGCAGGACAAGACATGGACGGTTAGTTTAGAGCCTCCGTCGGAGGCCCAGGTCCGAAACGCGATCACAGCCCTTAATCCTTTTCGTGCCGTTAGCCCGGATTCCCTCCCACCTGCACTATTTAAGGATGGATGTGAGGTCCTCTGCAGGGCACTGACCTCCCTATTCGAACGTATCTGGAAGGAAGAGAGTGTCCCGGCCGATTGGAGCGAATCGATTATAGTGGCAATATACAAGAAGGGCAGTTGCACAGACTGCTCAGACCACAGGGGGTATTAGCCTAACGCTAATTGTGACAAAACTATTGGCCTCGATTATCGTTCGTAGCCGCACTGCGGAACGGGAATCTCGGATTAGGGAAGAGCAGGCCGGTTTCCGCTCAGGACGTGACTGTATAGACCATATATTCACTTTGTGGCAGGTGCTAGAGCAGCGCCACGCATACCGCAGATCCTCGATTTCAAGAGTGCGTTCGATTCAGTCGATTCTGTTCGAAATACTTGCGCGGAAAGGTGTTCCCACGAAATATGTGAACATCCTTCGTGCTCTCTACTCGAACACTACAGGCAGCGTCAGGGTCTATGGTATGCTATCGGATAGCTTTCCGACCCCAAGTGGCGTTCGTCAGGGTTGTCCGATTGCCCCATTTTTGTTCAATTTCGTCGTGGATTCTATCATGGAGCGTTCCCTTGCGGAATCTCACGATGTAGGCGTTGAAGAGCTGCCTGGTGAAAGATTAGTTGATCTTGATTATGCGGACGATATCGCCTTGCTTTGCGGCGATGTTGGGGCGGCCCAAACAACCCGGAATAGCCTGTCCAGAGTGGTCCCATTATTTTGTATGCACTTCGCACTTTCAAAGTACAGTGTTGCTGCAGGACCACCAGTCCCACATTATGATTCCTTGACGCTTGCTAACGAGGAACTCGAAGTGGTTGATCATTTCACTTATCTTGGCAGCTGCATCAGCAATGATGGGAGCATAGAAACTGCGGCATCTTTGGCGACAGAAGGGAGTTTCCCTCCGTTTGAAAGGCCGGGTATACAAGGCCACAGTGAGGGCCGTTCTGCTCTATGGTAGTGAGACTTGGCCCCTTCGGTCTGAAGATCTGAGGCGCCTTCAAATATTTGATCATCGTTGTCTGCGAAGTGTTGCTGGTGTCAGATGGCACCAGCATGTCCGCAACGATGATGTGCGTAGGCGAGTACTATATAGTGATAATCGTGCTAGCTCCACAGAACAAATAGCACTGAATAAGTTGTGTTGGCTCGGACACGTGCTACGCATGCCTAGTTACCTAGGAGGGCCTTGTTTAGCCTGCCAGGTGTAGGGTGGCGCAAGGCTCGAGGTGGACAGGAGTTGACTTGACGGCGGGAAATGAAGTCACTGACTACCAAACTGGGTGCCGTTGGTCCGTCTCGCCTTCCGGCCTGGAATCCAAGTGACTCGCCTTGTGCTTGGCTCGAGAATTTAAAGGACATGGCTCGCAGTAGACACCAGTGACGCGTCTGTTGCCATATCCTAATCGGATTGCCTGTTTAAAGTGTGTTTGGTGCTGAGTTATCTGTGGGGTAATGGCTGATTATGACGAGTGGCAGTGAAAGCCGCAAGGAAGCTGTCTCGCCGATGCCGCCTTATCTTTGCACGATAGCCAGCTGTTTGTTATGGTATGTTGTCTACACAAGGTGTAGGCGCCTTGACTCTGAATGTTTGTATAGGGCATTAAGGTTTTCAGTTAGGTCCCCCTTTTCTCCCACTTCTTTATTTCATAGGTCCTCATGGTTGTATGGCAACGAAGCATCAGTTCAAATGGCTGAAATACTGCTGTTGTGATGATGATGATGAGTAAAATAAACAAGACGTGCAAGAGTAGTTCGAAATAGAATTCACGAGCCGGTGAAAGGTGGCGAACTCTCGTAAAGATCGCAAGGTGGACAAGATGGCTCGGATTCAGTGCACGCAAAGGAAATGCGCGTAACACTTTTGAAGCAGAGAGAGTGACTAAGTTGAAACGTTTACACATTAAATGAAAAGCAGTTATGACCTAGGAAATATGCTATAACTGATTTTGGAACAGCACCGTTAATCCATAAAGACGGTGGTCAAAACAATCGAAAGGGATGATGTGACAATGTAACCAACTCACCAGAAATCAAGGATCCAGATTTTGCTGTAATACATAATCCAACGCCAATGGTAACGCAGTGATCTCCATGGGTTAGCAGCACCTTTTCTGACTTCGATAGGCCTCTGAGAAGATGAGCGGAGAAAATCAGCACGGTACTTAAAAAGCGGTGAAGCCGTATCGCACTCGATCACAAATTGACCGTCTTCCCGACTATCTCCCTTAGAAACATGACCACCAAAAGCTTTATTAATTAGCTGCAAGAAATACCATAAAAAGGATAAATTACATGCATCCCATAGCAAATACCGAGGATTGGTAGGCCCGATTCAAAGACTTTCGGGTCGCACTCAGCGGCCCCATGAAAACTGACGGAATCCGGGCTACCAGATATTATTAAGGCTCTAAAAATTGATCCACAGTAATCAGAACGTGCTTGTATCCTAATTCCAGTAACTTGTTTACGGGAGTATTAATTGGGAGCAATTCTGAACACACAAGTAGCTCTCTGACACGCCTGTCAATAACCTGAAGGAGTGATTGCACTCAACGGTGGGCATCTAACCTTGCCATATTGAGCACCAGCATCCAGAATGGCTACGCGCTCCATATACTGAACCAATGCCGCAGGATTGCAGAAGAGAACGTGTGGATCAACGACAACTATGAGAGGCTACGTTCCCTGGTACAAATGAACCTTTGGCTGTATGAGAAGAAAAACTTGCTTCGGAAATACATGAGTACCTTGGAACGAAGTTGAGTTATTTCTTTTAACGTTTTACAGTTCTTGTATAACGGTGTGTGAAATAACAGCATGCCGTAGGATTGTCACTATGGGGTACAGTATCATCACGCAACCGAATAGCGACGTGGAAAGCGTTCAGACGAAAAAGGACCTTATTTTTGACATGAACAGTGTTATCGCCGCATTGGCAGGAACTTTGAATCATCATTTGTAGTTTTATCGAACCATCGTCTCTTCTATATCTGCTTGGAAAAATTCTGCTTATCCGTGACCACCCAAGCTTATATATGGAACGAAGCGTAGGGGACTGCGCGCTCTGCGTGATACGTTATCCAAACGCTTCTATAGAATGGGGTTGCACCGTTTAAGTTGGAAAGCTGGCCTTTGGTGAGCAAGTGTGGAAACAATAGAACCATTGCATTATAGAAAGCAGAAGCGCAACCCTTGTCAGATTCATCGCATCTCTGTGAGAGCAAGAACTATGCTTGATGTGGAGAAACGGCGTTCTTAATGGACCGTTACAGCTGCAAGGCAAGCAAGACGATCCCGGCATGCGCAACAAGTGTAGGGCCAACAGTCTCGTAAAACTTGCCTCACTGGACGCTATGAAAGCAGGTCCCGGCAGTGAGTCCCAGGCTCTTACCACCCGAGTGGATAGAGTGAGCACCAGATGGACATAGAGTCACTTGGGCTTGAACAGCTTTCAATTGTGTCCTTGCAGCTAGCATCAAGTTTTCACCTGGAAGATTTGTTGCAACCCAATCCCTAATGCTCCCCTAAGGATACGATTGGTGTAAAGCAGGTCTCATAGGCGACGAGAATAATCCAAAGGGAACAGATCTAGCTGTTGTAGGCGAGCAGGGTAGAACCTCGCACGGAACGTCGAGCAGGCTTTGGAACCACGCCTTAGTATTCCTTCAAGCCGATTATATATAAACTTCGTGAGGGGTAACCAGGCGGTAAGCCATACACGAGATTATATCTCTTATGCGAGAGAAACAGGAGATTGAAGGTCTCCAGGGACAATCGGGAGAATGAACTTCTTATGGCGCTGCACATCCTGTTGGCTACATTGACTTTACTCAAACTATCCTGGGTTATCTTTCGATCAGGTGACGCAATAGTGCCTAGGTCCTTCGTTAGAGTGATATTCGTGAACAGGCAACCGCCAACCCGCTATATGCCGAAGCGTCTAGGGTCACCGATTGGCAGGATGTAACGTTTGTCACGGTTCATGGGCAAAAATTTCAGGTAAGTGACTAATCATTAAGGGTGTCAAGGTTGATTGCAGTCTTGTGGCATCATCGAGGCCAGAAACCACTAACCTTAGTTTCAGGTCATCAGGATAGATTCAGCACACCGCCTGAAACCCAGTGCATAGCACGGGTATCGTGCGCTATATATTCGGTACAAAACTAGATGGCCAACCAGAGGCAATGGATAGAACACAAAAATGTTAAGCTAGGGAAAATGTTCATTGTACGGGAGCAGAGCTGGCTCATGCTAAAATAGGGCACCAGGAGAGGGCTAGCTAGGAAGGATGTATGTGTGCGTCTAGTACGTGGACGGAGTGTCCTTCGCAGTCGTCGCGCACGACAAAGGCGGATATTGTATTCGTGGTTCAAACAAACGGGAGCAAGGTTTCAATAGACTAACCGACTAATTCCCTGATACATACATAAAACTATAATTTTAATATATTTGAGAACAGTTTACACAGGCATACGAGAGAATCTCCAGGTCACTACCAAGGGAAGATCGTTGATGAAGATTAAAACAATTAAGGACCAAGGACCGGACCCTACGGAAAGACTGGGAAAGAGCTTCATTTAGTTTGACTCTAAGTAGACGACCCTTCAAGAAATCCGGTATCAAAGAAATGCTATCCTCCGTGACACCAACAACACGAAGCATAATCTTTTAGTTTATTCTCGAATTCATTGAGGCACATCAACTCAGGCATGAACAAAATTAACGAACAGTTACATTTCGCAACGGACACATTGCTATGTTTGTAATCGGCATTGACCGAAAATTGTACAGGCTGCGAAAACTGAAGCAGCAATCAGGTGGAATATAGTCAGCAGTGGGTTACGATAATTTGGGTTCCGGTGTGCGAAGTTTAAAGAGTAAAGGCACTAGAAACCTTGTGAAGACAGTAGACGTAGGCAGAGAGTATCTTTTTCTTGTACGTATCAAGGAAATGTTGAAAATGACGCTAGTCGACTTCCAGTATGTGGTTGTGCGCAGTGACTTTCTTCTGTGGCAAGTTGCATCCGCCACGTCACAGAGTTTTTAAATGGACTTTTGTAGATTTTATAAGAAGGCTTGCCAGGCCAAAACATACCACATCCTGGAACACTGCCGTAAAGCACTTATGTAGAACTGGCAAAGCAGCTCGTCCACTGATTTCATACCCGGTTATTCTCTGTCGAATGACTTCCAATTTCCTCCGTTTGCTTGGTTAGGGCCGCCATAGTCGTTGAGATAGGTAGCGGATGGGAGAGTCACGAAGGGTTGTATTCTTGAGTGTCAAGGTGCGGAAATCTTTTCAGTTCCTAGGGTCTGCAATTTGCTGATTATCTTTACTTTTCGGGAGTGTGAAGACATAGTGTCCAGCCATCCAAGCTGGAAAACTATCTTGGTGGCGAGTGCAGTTGAAGCCCTTTGGTGGACAGCCATGGTCTGGGTAGCCCTTGCCAATTAATTCGTCCACGTTCTGACAAAAATGCTGTTCCTGTGTTCAATCCCGGATTCCCAAGAACTGTCCGACCCCGGCGAAAAGGGAATGGGAGGAACAGACAGAGGGAGGAAGTCGTTCATGTAATACCTTGTCATAAGTTTTACTGAAGCCGACGAAAATAACTTTCAAACGTCTAGCAACGTCTGAGGCTTTGGCCCATCTTTCGCTGGCGATCAGCAGGTTGGAAAAGCAAGAACTAGCCCTCTGAAACGCAGGTTGAGCAGGGGAAATCAGATTCATGACATCCAATTGACGCTGTAGAGAAGGATTCTGAAGCCTCTCCATGACTTTACAAATAACCGACGTCAGCGAACTCAGGCAGTGGTTAGGAGCCCTAGCCGGTTCCGACCATTGTTACTTACTTTGGTGGCACCAACTTTCTAATCAGCCAGAAGACGACCATTTTCGTAGGAGAGCCGAAAACTATAACTTTTAGGGGTGAGATATGCGCAGGGACGGTCTTGAGAAACAGAGCAGGCAAACCATCTGGACCAGGAGACGACTTAGCATCGAAAGTATGGAATAGCCACAGTACTACATCTGCGTTTATCTCCACAGACCCATGGGGAGACGGATACGAATAGACAATGGAACAGGACAGCGGGGCTTCTATCGTACAAATGGAGGAGTACTGTTTGGCAAGAATCTCAGCTTTCGCGTTATCATCGTGAAGTGTATCTACCCCCGAGAGGAGAACAAGGCAGGCAAACAATTTTTAGCTTCGGTAGTTCGTAAATTCAAAATGAGTTTCTTGGGACATACTATAGATTGTGTAGCCAAAGTGCACTCATACTTTTGGCGCTTCACACACTTCTTCCTGTACAAAGTTCCTGCCGGCTTTGTAGTCAGCCTAGGCCGTAGTCCATTGCCATTCTTGGGGTTTTCATATAGACATTCATTACTTTTACGAAGCTTGTACTTCAAGTTTGCTCCAAGGGGACCCTAGAACACGGTCTTCTTCGGAAGACTGGGACAAGCTGCTCACTGAGCACGGTTGCCTAGGTGCGAAAGTGAATTGACGCATCGTCCAGCCCTAAGTGTTCAGCGATGCTCTGATCGACTACATTCACGGCAGCTTTAATGCGGCTTGAATCAGCAATCTAGGAATTTCAGAAGTGAACTTCTTGGCCGTGAACAGCGGGACGTCGTGGCCAAAAGAAAGAGAAAACATAGTGATCATGTTTGCCCATCGGCTGCAGAGCATCTAATCCCGTGCTTTCGGCCAGCGCTGGTGTAAACACTCGGCCAAGGGCATGAGGAGCCTGGCCTAGGCTCATTCACGTTGGTGCTGTACCATACTGTCAGGTCAATTTCATAGATCGATTCGTGGCAAGCTTAGTCAAACTTTTCAACCAAGGGCCCACAGGGAAGATGTTCCCAATCGATACCGGGAGCACTGAAGTCACCCATAACCAGAGTCGCTTCCGCTTCCATACATGTTGACAGCTTCCAACAAGCCGGCATTAACCACCGATGGAATCCTGCATATAATACCGATTATAAACGTTTTACAACCATCGTGGACGCAGGCACAATAAAGCTTCCATTCTCCGTCTCTGTCAAATAAGGCTTTCACAATATGAACTGGGAGATCCAACTTCCAGTAACGGAAGACACCTTTACCAACGCGCCATCCAGGACAACCGGCTCTGGAAGTATGGCAGCCAAGAATGGAGGTCTCCTAGTCCAGAATATTCGATGTCAGCCAAGTCTCTGTGAGCGCAAGCAGCTCAGGGCAGTGTTATGCTGAAAAGGGATGAAGGACATCCAGTTTAGTTTTTAGACTACGCACATTCACACACAGGATAGGTCATCCTACCCTTAACCTTAATAACCGGAGATTGCAAACTTGGCTTCCACCAGGCTCTCGGAGCTCTCTGAACTACTTTATAAGTCACAGTATGAAGCTTTGCTTCTCCTTGGGTTCGTCGAGGTCACAGTTCCTCAACCGCATTTTTCCTTTGCTTCTGATCCTTTGGGAAGAGCTCTCTGAGGAAAAAAGCCACCCTTTTCCGCCGAAAAGTTCGTCTGAGAAGGCGGTGAACTTCATTCTTCTTATGAGATTTGCATTTTAGGGAACGGGATTGGGATGGTTCATCCTACATCCCATCGAGACGAAACGCGGAAACGAGACTGTTCACCTAATCGTCATCGTCGAAAACAAGTGAAATCATACGCTTAAGGAAAGTAATATTATCCAGGATCTTTTCAAC